TTTGGCTTTTTTTTGGTTCTTCCTTCCCCCCCCGCTGATTCATTTCCCTTTCCCGGGGGTTCCTCTTCCCCCCCCCGGGATAAAAGGGGGGGTCCCGCCCCCCCAAAATAAAAGGGGGGGTCCCGCCCGTCCCCGGAGCGGCCGCGGCGGGAGCAGGTGAGGGGGGGGCGGATTTTGGGGGGGGCTTCGTTCTCCTGGGGGGTGTTTTGGGACCCCCTCCCAGTCCAGACCAGTTTGAGGGGTCTCCAGTGCCAGTTTTGGGGGGTCTCCAGCCCAGTTTTGGGGGGGGGCTTCGTTCTCCTGGGGGGGTGTTTTGGGACCCCCTCCCAGTCCAGACCAGTTTGGGGGGTCTCCACCCCAGTTTTGGGGTCTCCAACCCCATTTTGGGGGGCTTCGTTCTCCTAGAGGGGGTCTGGGGGATCCTCCCCATTCCAGAAGGATTTTGGGGGGTCTCCAGCCTCATTTTGGGGGGGTTTCGTCCTCCTGGGGAGGTGTTTTGGTGTCCCCTCCCAGTCCAGCCCAGTTTTGGGGGTCTCCAACCCCGTTTTGGGGGTCTCCACCCTTCTTGGAGGTTGTTTAGGGACCCCCCTCCCATCCCAGCCCCATTTTGAGGGTCTCCAGCCCCTTTTTGAGGGTCTCCACCCCAATTTTGAGGGTCTCCACCCCATTTTTGGGGTCTCCAGCCCCATTTTTTGGCTCTCTGTCCCAATTTTGGGGTCTCCACCCTCATTTTGGGGGTCTCCAGCCCCTTTTTGAGGGTCTCCACCCCAATTTTGGGGGTCTCCAGCCCCATTTTGGGGGTCTCCACCCTACGGGGGGGTGGGGCTGCCCAGGCCACGCCCCCCCGGGCGTTTCCCCTCCCAAATTCTTGTGAAACGTGGGGGGGGTTGAAGGGGGGGGGGAAGTTGGGAAACGACTTTTCCGGGGTGTCCCGGGGGGGGGAGAGACACGGGGGGGGACTGGGACACCCCCAAAATGGGGCTGGAGACCCCCAAAATGGGGCTGGGCTGGGAGGGGGTCCCCAAACACCCCCCCAGGAGGGTGGAGACCCCCAAAATGGGGCTGGGCTGGGAGGGGGTCCCAAAACACCCCCCAGGAGGACGGAGACCCCCAAACTGGGGCTGGAGACCCCCCCAAACTGGGTTAAGCTGGGAGGGGGTCCTAAAACACCCCCCCAGGAGGACGGAGACCCCCAAAATGGGGCTGAGCTGGGAGGGGGTTCCAAAACACCCCCCCCAGGAGGGTTGGGTTGGGTTGGGTTGGGTTGGGTCCTCCTTGGGTTGGGTTGGGTCATCCTCGGGTCATCCTTGAGTTGGGTTGAGTTGAGTTGGGTCCTCCTTTGGTTGGTTTGGGTTGGGTTGAGTTGGGCTGTCCTTGGGTCATCCTTGAGTTGAGTTGGGTTGGGTTGAGTTGGGTTGTGTTGGGTTGGATCACCCTTGGGTTGGGTTGGGTTGAGTTGGGTCATCCTCGGGTCATCCTTGGGTTGGGTTGGGTTGAGTTGGGTCATCCTTGGGTTGAGTTGGGTCACCCTTGGCTTGGGTTGGGTTGGATCACCTTTGGGTTGAGTTGGCTTGAGTTGGGTCACCCTTGGGTTGAGTTGGGTTGGGTCATTGTTGAGTTGGGTTGGGTTGAGTTGGGTTGGGTCATCCTTGGGTTGGGTTGGATCACCCTTGGGTTGAGTTGGGTTGAGTTGGGCCACCCTTGGGTTGTGTTGGGTTGGATCACCCTTGGGTTGAGTTGGGCCACCCTTGGCTCATCTCCCCTTCCCTTGTGTGACCCCTCCCCCGTCCCTCCCCCTCTTCACACCCATTTTGACCCTCCCCAGGTCCCCCCGCCCCACCATGTCCCCGACCACCGACTACCCCTACAACGACACGTGGGACGACTCCTTCCTGGACGACCTGGACGCGCCGTCGGTGCCGCTCACCCTGCGCTTCGTCCTGGCCCTCTACGCCCTCATCTTCCTCCTGGGCGTCCTGGGCAACGGCGCCGTCATCTGGGTGACGGCGCTGGAGCTGCGCCGCACCGTCAACGGCGTCTGGTTCCTCAACCTGGCCGTGGCCGACCTGCTCTGCTGCCTGGCCCTGCCCTTCCTGGCGCTGCCGCTGGCCCGCGACCACCACTGGCCCCTGGGCGCCTTCTCCTGCCGCGTGCTGCCGTCGCTGACGGTGCTCAACATGTTCGCCAGCGTCCTGCTGCTGACGGCCCTGAGCGCCGACCGCTGCGCCCTCGTCACCCGCCCCGTCTGGTGCCACAACCGCCGCACGCCGGGCCTGGCGCGGGGGGCCTGCGCCGGCGCCTGGGGGGCGGCCGCGCTGCTCACGCTGCCCTCCTTCGTCTTCCGCGCCGCCCGCCGCGACCCCTTCTCCGCCAAGACCGTCTGCGTGCTGGACTACAGCCTGGTGGGCCGGCACCAGCGCCTCACCGAGGTGGCCACGGCGGTGACGCGGCTGCTCTGCGGCTTCGCGGGGCCGCTGGCCGTGATCTCGGCCTGCTACGGGCGCCTCCTGTGCCACCTGCGGGCCAAGGGCTCGGCGGGGCGGCCGCGCCGGGCGGAGCGGACGGTGCTGGCGGTGGTGGCGAGTTTCTTCGTGTGCTGGTTGCCCTACCACGCCGTGGGCGTGGCGCTGGCGGCGGCGCCGGCGGGCAGCGCGGCGTTCCGGGCGGCGCGGGACGCCGACCCGGTGGTGGCGGGGTTGGCCTACGTCAACAGCTGCCTCAACCCGCTCATCTACGTGGTGATGGGAAGGGCCTTCCGCGCCCGCGTCAGGAGGTCGTGGAGGGGAGTCCTCAAGGGGGT